CTCCTCCTCCTTCTCCTCCTCCTTCTCCTCCTCCTCCAGCTGGGTTGCCCCAGTCTCCCCTCCTCTTTCCTTATGGAGGGGCGGGGGCAGAGTGAGGCCAGGGTACTGGGCGGAGCCGGGGCGGGCCCAGCGCTGTGGCACCTGTGCCCCGTCTCTGGGTGCATCCCATCCACTTCCACTTCCCCACGAAAGCTCCACCCTACAATCCCCTACGGGCGCCCCATGGCGAGCTGGTCCCTCGCCCTCAGCTCTGGTTTCCATGGGCCTGGAGTCCTTGGGAGGCGCCTGGGGTCAGGGCTGAGGACCACGGAGACCCTTGGCGGGTGTGGGGCGGGCAGAGGGCGGGCGGCCCGGCTCTGTGCTCTTGGAAGACATGCGCGGCCCTGGGTTTGAAAGTGCGGGCGTGGGAGTCAGGCCAGGCCTTGGATGTGGCTGACCGCTGCCGTGTGAGGGCAGGCACGTTTCCTAACGTCGCTGAGCCCCGTTAGACGCTGAGCCCCAAGCCTGTGCAACAAGTGGTAGGTGTCGCCTGCAGCCCGCAGTCAGGAATCCTAGCCCCGGTGGGGCGGGGTCTTGATGGAACCGCCATTGTGTCCCTTCCTCCCAGCCACACGGCTGCAGGGGGCACCCCTGCGCACGAGGTGGCCGAGTCCCGTGCTGAGGTGACAGGTGTGAAGGGGGCCAGTCCCCCTCCCTCCACAAGTCTCCCCGTTCAGCAAGGTGGCTGAGACAGCTGTGCAGGTTACTCCTGGGCAGGCATTGTGCCAGCAGGGTGAGGTTGTTTCCAAGTCGTGTGCAGCCACTTCTGGCTTAGCTCATCAGGGGGGCCTGCCTGGAGGAGGTGCCGTTGGGCGGGGCCTTGAAGGGCGAAGGAAACCGAGCATTGCAACTTTTCTCAAAAGAGGTGCTGCAGTCATTCAGAGTGACAGAGTAGGACAGGTGAGGGGATGGGGAGACTTCGGGTGCTAGAGCACATATATTCGAGGTCATACAGCGTTTCAGGAGAGAGGGCCCGAGAGCACCGGAGCCACCCACGTGTTGTACTCGACGAGCCGGAATTTCTCGCAGAATCTGTGTGTGCTGCTTTCAAATAATGTCCTAAAATCCCCAGCATTTTAAAACGCCGAGATGAACAATGCCGGTTTCTCTTGCTGAGAGGCCTTTGCTGGCCTCTTCTATTTTATTGGGGGGGGGGGAGGCAGGAAGAAGTGGAAGCCATGCTGCCGTCTCCTCTCGCTGAGGCAAAGCTGAGCCTCAGACCTGAATGATTTTGTTCCTAAAGCAGGGGAGGGGGGCGGGGGGGCGATATTCTAAACCAGCAGAAACTCAGAAACGAAGATTTGCGCCTATGGAGGTGCCTCCCTCCCTCGAGATTGGACTCCATTCCGAGCCCACGCGCCCGCGCCACTGCGACAAGCCTGAGCTCGAGCCACCGCCCCAAACGCATTTGCACAGAATCGCCAGCCAGTTTCCTGGAAACAAAAAGCGCTGGCAGGTGGCTGCGCCCAAACGCGTTCCTGTTAAGCTCCCTGCCACCCTGTGGAATATTAAAGTTCCGCCTGGAGGCGGGACTCCATTCCCACGTGCCTGGAGGGTGCGGAGCAGCCACCCGTCATTTGCGGGTGATTGACTCCCGACGCCGGGCCGAGTGTACATGTTTGCAGAGCAGTGTCGACCTGGGATGTCGTTGGGGTGATGGATGGCCCACGAGGTGGGGGAGGAGGGCCCGACGCCCGATCAGTCCCTGTGCCTCCGTTCCCGCCCGCGCTCGGCCCGCCTTTCTCGGGGAGGCACCCGGTGAGATTAGGGGCACGAGAAGCTGTACCCGGGCTGGGGGAGCCCCGCGATGCTGTTCCTCTTCGTGGATGTTTATGTCTGACTGACTGGGTTCATCCTGCAGAATAAAGAGAGGAGGGACCACTCCCCCAAAAGAAGGGAAACTCGCCCAGCCGCACGCCCAGAGCTGTGGCCCCCGAGGGCGGGGCTCCTGCCCTGGTTTGCATCCTGAGCTCTGGGAGGAGGCAGGGGGTGTTTACCAGACCCATTTGCTGTGTTTGGGAAGCGCTTGGTCCTCACCATCCCCGATGCTGGTGATGAGCGAGTGAATAATGCATAGGCCACTCCCGGCGCGCTCCTGGCGCTCCCGGCGCTGGGCCGTGTGGGAAGGTCCCTGCTATTAGGAGGCGCGTGAGGTTGGCTGCGCCTGCCGCGGCGCCCTCCTTGACCTTGGCCTCTTTGGCAGGTGCAGAACATGTCCCAGTCCATAGAGGTGCTGGACCGGCGGACTCAGCGGGACCTGCAGTACGTGGAGAAGATGGAGACCCAGATGAAAGGCCTGGAGTCCAAGTTCAAGCAGGTGGAGGAGAGCCACAAGCAACACCTGGCCAGGCAGTTCAAGGTGCGTGTGTCCTCCTCCCAGGCAGGGTTTGCTGCCCTCGAGGCTCCCCTCTCCCTCTAGAGCTAGCGATTGGGGAGCGGGGGAGCCGAGCGAGGCTTGCTCTCTGCTGTCCTCGGAGACAGAGGCAGCTGCCTGCACGCGCCCTGAGAGGGAGGCCGGGCTGCGGTTCCCAGCACCTCTAGCGTCAGAGGCCAGGGGTCCCGGGTCCGAGCTCCGGCCAAGTGCCAGCTCCGCAGCTGCTGCGGGTCAAGCCCCTCAGCCGAGGACTGGCTTCCTGGGTCAGAGCCGTGTCCACGCAGGGCCATTTCCCCGTCTGACCTCAGGTAGCTGTGGCACGGCCACTGTAGGGTCACAGGGAAGAGAGAGAGAGAGACACCAACATCTTTCTCACTTTGTGGTAAGTGTTCCTGCTCTCCGGGTGACTCTGGGCCGGAAGGCCGGAGTGTGACCTGAAATTATATATACATACGTATGAATATGTATATATACAGACACATAGATATTCACACACCCAGAGCGAGCGCAGCTTCAGAACTCCTGAATTGAGGAGCGCTATGCACCTTAATTAAGGTAGACATGCATGCTAATTAGAAATCTGGCCCGGATATAAATGAGCGGGTCGATAACACCTCCCGCGCGACTGGAAATTGCTGACGCGGTCGACCTGTCCCCTCCACGCCGGCGTCTCCCTTTGATGAGCTCTGCACGAAGCAGGAACGGACTCGCTTTTAAAAGCCACCCGTTCTCTAGACGAAATGGCGAGCCGATGACGTTACCGATCTATCTCACATCATGCATAAAACAGCGCAGGCTGGAGGAGAATGAGCGGTCGCTCCGGTCCGAGGCAGGCGGGCGTACCATCGTCCTCGCTTCTGCCGCGTCATCGCGAATTATCCGGGAAGGGATTTTGACCTGCCTGACCATAAAGAGTTTGTGTCTCTCCGTCAAAGGCCAGCACTCCCTTCTCAGGGGCGCGAGGGGGGAGGGATAAGGCAGAGCCCTCTCAGGGGGACGGTCCCGCAGCCAGGGCGAGCTCCTCTCTGCTAGCGCCGCCCACACAGCCGTCTCCCCCAGTCCCCGAATCGGGGCGCTGTGGCACCGGGGGAGACTAGCAGCCCTTGCCCTCCGCCGGCTTTAGTTGCATTAAACGTGCCAGCGCAGGGCGGTGAGGGATTTACGTCCCTGGTAAGGCCGGTTGCTCGGACGAGCCCTAGCACTGAAGTGTGGTTTTTTTCTAAGTGCCCGTGAAGCGATTTGTCTGCGAATGGCTGTGTGTGTGAGGCAGGCTGGTGAGGTAGTTCTTCAACGGTATTTCGTTTTCTTGCTTGCAGGGCTAACTTAAAAGCGTTTTTTCAGAGCCGCAGTGACTGAAGAGGCATGTAGCCATGTACCCATGACCGAGGGCCAGACTGCTTTTTGCACCCTGCATTTTCACCCTCCTTCCCCGACACTTAGCGCCATTTCACTAAGGAATCCAACCGCGACCCTCTTTTTTGCATGCGACTGTAGATGCATTTCACGAATCCTTTGAACCCTTGTCAATGCATTTTTTTGAAAAAGAAAAAAAAAAAAGGAAACTGTGTGTACGTGACCTAAAGCATGTAACCTTAAGATGTTGCATTCTACCTGAAAATAAAGACCTTTCCCAAAGATGATGGTGTTCTGAAGACTGTTTCATACGCTCTCCTCACGCTGGGGGCCCGAGGATAAGTCAGCCTGTGAGAGGCGGGAGCGGCCAGGCCGAGGCAGGGTGTGACGAGTTTTTGCACGCATCGCACTGAACCCAGCTTATTTTAACCTTGCAGGCGATAAAAGCGAAAATGGATGAACTTAGGCCTTTGATACCCGTGTTGGAAGAGTACAAGGCCGATGCCAAATTGGTTTTGCAGTTTAAAGAGGAGGTCCAGAATCTGACGTCAGTGCTTAACGAGCTGCAAGAGGAAATTGGCGCCTATGACTACGATGAGCTGCAGAGCAGAGTGTCCAATCTTGAAGAGAGGCTCCGTGCGTGCATGCAAAAGCTAGGTAGGCCCAGCACCCTGGGGCGGGCG